ATATATATATATATATATATATATATATATATATATATATATATATATATATATATATATATATATATATATATAAACAGTAATATAAAACATATGAGTGTAAATTTACAGTTCTAGCATTTTCAACAAAAAAAAATTCTGTCTATATATGTGGATGAATTTACTGGTACCCCTGATTAAGATTGGTAAAAAGCCTTGTAATATATGAAAAATATCTTTTTCTATGAAAATCTTAAAATAGTGAAGGAAACAATTGTACAATTAGTGACAATTATATAAAAAAATATTTGACAAAAGTTTCTTCAGTTACATTTATTTTACACATATTATGTGTATATATTTTATCTCTCTGTTTTTTTTATTTATAATCTTGTGTAGCTGGATGTGTGTATATATATATATATATATATATATATATATATATATATATATATAAAAAACTGTAACTGGAGCGTGTAACACAAGTAATTTCCCTCTGATGATTATTAAAGTATTTCTGATTTAAATGTTGAACTGAGTTTTTCAGGAACTTATTATTAAAAACGAACCCTGTAATATAAATATGTGAAAGATTCTTTTCTTCTGTTATAAGTATTAATAAATAATTTAAGCTATATGCCATTTATAAAAAAAGAATATTTGAATTCCTCTTTTCCAGGGGATCCAATAAACTCATCCCTGTCTGTATCCATTGCTATAGTCGTTAGACGGGATTTTCTTTTCTTTCTTTACCTTTTCTTCTGACTATAAACTCAAATTTTGCAGGAACCAAAGAGTCGAGGCTGATATTAATCAGGTCCAGACCGGCTTCTCTCAGCTTCGGCAAAAGTCTGGCTAGGTTAATGCCGTTGGTTGTAACTGCAATAGTTTTCAGGCCCTCCAGCTTCTTCAGTTCAGCTGTAAAGGAAAGCAGGTGTTAGCAAGATTTAAAAGCAAAAACAAAAGAACGATAATCTACAAACTGAGGGATTAAATTAACCTGTGAATCCAGATTGATCACATTCAGCACTGAGGTTTAGTTCTGAACATCATCAATCTAGGATTGCTCTCCGTTTCTGGGAAAGGGGGACCTTTAGCAGAACCTTTTAGGCTCCTACTGTTCCACTTTTAAAGATGAAATTATGAAATTGAAAATAGAGATGTGACAGGAGCAGCAACGCGTACCTCCTCCAGTTTATTTTGGTTCAGCTATGGGTTCAACAGCTCTTGCTTTCATCACAGTCAGAGATCCTGCCTTAAACCATAATCCTGCAATGTGATTCGCTAGTGATGGTGAGACGAAGCCTCATTTGAACCCTTTGGTTTAATTCCTTCAAACTGAAGCTTCATGTGAACATGTCACCACCTACTGGTGGAAAACAGAACTACAGTTTGTGATATAATCAGATTTATTTTGCATTTTTTTTCTTGTTTCTTCTCCATTTAACTTCCTTTGAAGTTTTGTTAATGGTTGGTGTGTATGATAAAATCTTTTATTTTAATCGTTTATTTTTGTGTGTAAAATGTCTTAAAAGAGAGCAATCATTTAAGGTTTACTGTTTTCCTGCCATTTTAGTTAAATAAGCTTAAGCAGACAGTGAAAGTGTTTGTGCAAATTAGGCAATGATTTTTATTCAACAATAAGTTTTTCCATAGTTTTTTATTTTAATTGGGTTGGAAATTATGTGTCCAAACAATCTAATTTAGCGGTGTTTTTACCCAATCTATATTGGTAAGAGGGCAAACAAACACAAATTAGTCAAAATACTTGCTAAATATTATTGCAGCTTTTAAAATGTAATATTGATCTCAAACCAACAACCTCAGGATTGGAAGTTCCTGTTTTACAGCTGACACCACTGACGATGATAACCATTTTCCTTAAAGAAAAACTACTTAACACTAATGTTTCAACTGCAACCAGTGGCTTGCTCAAATTGTGATCATTACACTGTTTAATCCAAACAAAATAGTTTTAAACAAATAGATTGGTTGTTTTTCAAACCAATCTATTCTTAGAAACTATCTAAACTCTATCCTACTGACAGCGACTCTCCTACAAACATCTTGACTGAGTAGTGAGGCTGTTTAAATGCCAGTCGAAGTTCTTGCGGTCTGATCCACTTCCTGAAATGGTCAAGTGGTGTCACGGTAGAGAGGCTTCGGACATCATCAATTTTGGCCCCTCCCCTAAATGAATCCCGCCTCGACACCCGCATCAGTGAAACGCCACCTCATTACTCGAAACACGCCTCGAAGCCTCGCCTCATCTCATAACATCACTATGATGTTCTTAGATTTATGGAAACACACAAACTTGCAGCCAAAGTTAGGACTAAATTGAGATTTAAAAGACTCTAAAACACTTTTCTGTTCCTGTATCCAACTTAATTTATAGTATCCAGTTATAGTTTCATACCACATGCGCCACAGATAGAGTATATGGACTTAATGCAAAAGCACAAAAACAACCACAACAAAAAAAAAACTGAGCTGCATCAAACATTATTAATGTGTGGACTACTGACAGCCTTAATACATTTTTTGTATGTACTTTTGTATTTTTTATGTACCATGCATTAAGAATCTGCTTGGTATTAATATAAATTATAATCATGATAGGCATATTGGATAAACAAGATGCTATATGTCAACAAACGTCATGGGAACGGTAATGATAGCGGAGAGAGAAAATGGAGAGGAAGATGAGGGTTAATTAAAACACACTGTCTTATCAATATTTAATAATAACACTGTAACATCATTTCACTGCTATAAAACTGTTCAAATAAAATAAAACTTAGTAAATTAAAATGGCTTAGAAAATAAAAGCCAAAGATCAACCTTACTGTTGTTAGTGTAAATAAACACGTTAGATTAAAGATGCTATATTGACTCACATTTAAATTAATGTTCAAAGCAGCTTTGAATGACAGCAGACTGTAGAATAGCCCGTGGTTCTAATATGAACACTTTAAAACTCCCAATAAAGAAGCATAAAGTGAACACAAATTATATAGAAAGGTAAGTTTCAGACAGACTGTTCAGTCATAAAGTGCCTGTTACTTTTTTCATCTTTCAATATGTGCCCGTTATGGGCACGGTGGAACTGTGGGTGGCACTGCTGCCTTGCATCAAGAAGCTTCTGGGTTCAATTCCTGATTTATGCATGGAGTCTGCATGTTCTCCCCGTACATGTACGGGTTCTCTCCGGGTACTCCTGCTTCCTTCCACAATCCAGAAACAAGACTGTAAGGTTAATTGGCTTCTCTAAATTCTCCTTAGATTTGACTGTGCATTAATGGTTGTCTCTGTGTCGCCCTGCAGTAGACTGGTCACCTGTCCAGGATGTAGCCCGCCTCTCGCCCACAGACACCGCAACACCCCACTGCGACCCTTACTATTATTTATTTTATTTATTGTTTATTTGAAAGGGGACAGTGTACATTAATCAACATTAAAACAATGTAAATATACCCGAGTTAGTTAAGGAGTGCTAATTTTCATCGGTAGTCCCCCAGCCAGGTATAAAAAAGGCAGCCTTAACAAGGACTAATTGGGAAAAGTTGGATGGATGGATGAAGATGAATATATGCCTTGTATTGCAGAAAAAAGCCTTGTATCTAAGGCTACGTTCAAACTGCAGGCCTTGATGCTCAATTCCGATTTTTTTGTGAAATCTGATTTCTTTTTAATGCCGTTCACATTTCCAAATATATGCGACTTATATGTGATCTCCTGTGTTAACTGCATTCTTACAGCGTAAGCTTCCCGCATGCCTACTACAGGACACAATGACGTCACAGGCCAGCATGCTCTGTGTTTATGGAAGCAAACATGGATGGCAGTGCCGGAGCGGATCTAATGATATTTCCCAACCGTAAAACACAATCTTTTTAAGATGGTTAAACATAAATACTGCTCTCCGCATCATTATCCACTATGGTTGTTGTTTTTCTTGCCATTTCTTCATAGAAAGACGCATAATAGTGACCTTTGCTGGGTAGTAATGGCGTTCAGGTCGGATGGATGCGACCTGGCCGTTCACACACAGGTCGCATTTGAAAAGATCAGATTCGTATCGGATTCTGGACCACAGAGCCAAGTGGCCTGGGTCGCATTGGAAAAAAAATCGAATCTGTTGTTCAGACAGCCATTCGGTGGCCCTGAAGTGCAAACTGGAACTACAAATCTAAAAGCGCAACTACATTAAGGAAATTGCAACTACATAAAGCAAAGCGCAACTACATTAAGGAAAACACAATTACATTAACCTCCCGGAAAAGGTAGGTACCAGTGGGAAACATGAGCCAGCGCTGATTCGACGACGGCGCCGTTTGACGCTTGTACTGGAAGTTGCGTCTTCTGAACAGTCCAGCTTCTTTTATGTGTGTCTTC